TATGGACTGGCTTGTACAGGTGCACAACCGTTTCACACTCTTGCCTGAGACACTCTTTCTGGCAGTCAATTACGTCGACCGCTTCCTCTCTGCCAAGGTCGTCTCCTTGGGCAAACTGCAACTTGTTGGTGCCACTGCTCTTTTCGTTGCTGCCAAGTATGAGGAGATCAACTGCCCATCGGTGCAAGAGATTGTGTACATGGTCGATGGTGCCTACACTGGCGACGAGGTTCTCAAAGCAGAGCGCTTCATGCTCAGCATGCTACAATTCGAGCTTGGCTGGCCTGGGCCGATGAGCTTCCTACGCCGTATCAGCAAGGCGGACGACTATGACCTCGAGACACGAACTCTGGCCAAGTACTTCCTCGAAATTACTGTTATGGACGAGCGATTCGTCAGCTGTGCCCCAAGCTTCCTGGCTGCTGGTGCTCACTGCCTGGCTCGCTTCATGCTGAAGAAGGGCGATTGGGTACGTAATTGCGCTCTGTTCTACTCAAATGCATACTAACAGTCGCCAGTCTCAAGCCCATGTCCACTACTCTGGGTACACGCTCGGCCAGCTACGACAGCTTGTATCTTGCATAGTGGAGTGCTGCGACAACCCCCAGAAGCATCACGCCGCTGTATATGAGAAGTATACCGACAAGCGTTACAAGCGCGCTTCGATCTTCGTTGAGACGGAGATTGCGAAAGGCTTTCAGCTACCCCTTGCCTCAAGGGACAGCCTTGCTGGTCAGGCGTGGAGACGAAAGTGATTTAGCTTCCTCCACATGACTCTTGGCTTTCGCACTTGTTCTGACTGAGCTTGCAGGTGTCGCATGACAGCGCACTTCACTCAGTCTCAGATACCCCAAAATGGCGCCAATGCCTCCATCCACCACCATCACCATGGTCATCACCGGAGTCTTCTTCATTCTTGTTTATTGTTTTCTGACAGTGGCACGAGGCGTTTTGGCGGCTTTATGGAACACGGCCAGCACCAACAACATCCCCAACCTTCAGCAGCTCAACCATCTTTTGGCAACCCTGCACGTGGCGTCTACGGCTTTCCAGTCTGACTACCTTTACCGACCCTAACTGCTCTCGCTACCAGTATAGCGTGACTACAGCACCATTTCCCTTCCAAGTACATTTTCCAGCATTGCGAGCGTGGCGGATACATCACGATGACACGAAGTCATGAACATCAGCACAGCACACCAGTTTTTAATTCCCCATACATCACGGCGCGAATCAGATTTTCTAAGTCGGCACTCAGGCTTTTTGTCTCAATGGGTTTTCTTTTGGAGACTTGGTTTCTCAAGGAGTATAGACAGTCATCGCGTCATGTGCGAGTCGTCCGGGGTTCGTCGTTTGCTTTGGCGTCATGCGAACGTCCTTTTGGGCCGGTAGTCGAGAAAAGCCAATTAATGCTTGTATCATTCATGCCAATTCTCACATTGAGACGTGATGTAAATCGAAACCGATGATTTCGCTGACATTATTTTTTGGGAGGCTTTGTGGAGCACAATTCCTTCCACAAGTGGCGAGGCACATTAAAATCACATCAATAACGTACAGAGTTGGAGCATCGCGGGGAAGAATGTTCAAGGGTTGTTTGATTTCGTCGCTAGCATTGATAAACCGACTGTTAGGACTGCTGCCGCGTTCGGTCCAGCTGATCCGCCTTGTTATAACCGTCGCTGGGTCAACAGGTCTCTGACCCGGCCGCATGGGCTGCTCACAGTGACTCATTGTCTCCGGATATAGTAGTTGCATACTACGTCGTCCCATCAACCAAGCCACAACGTAGCCTTTGTCTCGGATTCCAGCCCATCGATGTCCACCGTTCGTGTTTCGCATAACTGTGCAATCGCTCGGGTATCTCGATGCATAAGTCCATATCCTGTCTGGCGTTTCGTCGGTGCCAACCTTCTTCAGGCAAGGTATCCTACTTGCGCAAAGGGCTAAGCAATGAGCTCACTGCGATGCACCCTCTGCCGGCGCAATCAAGACTACGGAGTCACCTGCCAGATGTTAGAATCGCCTCGTGAATTGCCAGTACTGTCAAGACCAACCTCGTACGAACAACATCTCGCTCTGCTTCTTCACCGTCCTGACGCGCGGCTCCTGATCTTCCTCGTCCTCCTCCGCAACGAATATTGTCTCTTCGACGTCGCCGAGAACGAGATTGCAGTGGGAATCATAAGCCTATGCGATGTTGGTCAGCCTACATCATTGCGCACATTTCAACAAAGCAAACATACGTGTAGTCTGCCCTTTAATTCGCGATCGCCACGGAGTTTGACAAGAACAATCTCATCGATGCACAGACGCACAAGGTCGAGGGGCTCGTTGGTCTCTTCTTTTTCATCCATGATGGGCTGGGTGATGCTGGGTTGAGCTGTGATGCGACTGATCAACACGAGGTTCAACTTTGGAGCTACGATCGTGCTTGGCGCGGGGACTTCGCGGTACCTAGCGCTAATCCGTGTTTGGCCACTAGTGCGTTGGATTGCGTCAGGTCCAGGCTCGTGGTTGGGCTTGCTTGCCAGCTCAACAACAACCACTCCACGTTACCGGTCAACTCGTACATTACTTTCCTGAAGAGTTTTACATTCATTCACAAGTGCCGGTGTTCGAAATTTTAAGGCACATTACCCTCCTAGACGACAACAGCAACAACAACAACAACACACTGCCGCGTCGTGCCTGCTATCATGGCTGAGTTACAAGGTTCTGCACAGAAAGAGAATGGAGAGAACCCGCTCTTAGCAGCACGCCCACCGGCTACTGATCCGATCACATACTTGACCATTGTCGAGTACAATCTCACAGAAGAGAACCTGCCCGTTCTGCATCAGGTTCTCCAGGATGCGGAGCTGACGGCTGACATCGGCTGGGACCTTATCCATCTGTTACTCCCGCTTCTTCCAGCATCGGAGGAATGTTTGCAGGACATTGCCACCAAAGGGAACCCAAGAGAGTGCGTTTTGAAAGTTACGGAAGCACTGCGATTGCTTGAGTTTGAAGAACGTGAAGAGACGGACGATGATGGGGATGAGGATAGCGAAGAAGGTGGAGTGAGGCTTCAGGTACCCGAGGTTGGGGTAGGAGAGTCAAGCACTAGCCCTGCTTTCCCACGGACAGTGTTACCACCATTACCAGTACTCAAGTTCGAAATTCTCCTGGACATCTTGGCCACGCTGCACAGAAGGGTAAAAACAAAGTTTCCTAGCCGCTTCCTCTCGACTAGCCTGCAAGCTGTTCTTGTTGCGTTCAACCGGGCGAACACGCACCAAGAAGAGCTTACACTAGCTGCAATCAAGCTTGTTAAGACGCTTTCTGGTACCAAGAGGCCGCACTTGCCATCACGTCGAAGTAGTGGCAATCTTCTCAGTCGTACAAACACAAATCAGTCACAGGCCGACCCGGAAGCACAGAGCGAAGCTCCAACTGTGGATGAAACCACACTTGTGAACCGTCTGCTCCAATCTTTCATGACACACATTCTTGAGGATTACGTGTTGTCGTTGACATCTGACGATGACGTTCCGGGCCTCTCGTGGGCGAGCAGGCTGATGGAAAAGTACGAGCCACAGAGAATACCAAACAAGCCCAACTACCAGAGATATGCAGACCGATTCGCCGAAGACGAGGATCTGATGTCAAGGACAGCTATTCTCGGCCAAGTCGTCGCATTGACGCAAGATCTAAACCTGAAGACGGAAGAACTTGTACAAACCATCTTAGACTCAGAGATCGAGAAGCGAGGCATTCCGGGCACTGAAGACGAGCCACCTGCGACTGCCGCTGACATCCCACTGTCAAGGACAGGTGCACTCATTTTGTACACTGCGCGAAATGTCAAGCACGAGCTATATGCTGCTGCTCAAGGAGACGAGATGTCATCGATTCCCATCTTCCCTGGACACGCGGCAATACTGAAGAACTTTGTGGGCGCACTCGGGCCACAAACCGTTGGCCTTGAGCCAGAGGCACTCCTCGACACGATCCTTGCCGTCGGCCTCATCGCACTGGAGAACAACAACGTCGACGAGCCACAGGACGATGAATCGTTTGCTCAATATCTCCAAACGGTGTCTCTTATTTCCGCAAATACACCTTCACCTAGTCTCCGTGGACATGCCCATTATCTTACAACTACGATCCTGCGATCGCATCCACATGATCTCGTGCGCCTGACATTCATCCGCGATACCCTAGAACACTGCCCGTTCGAGAACCTCAAAGCAAGCGCTGTATCCTGGTTGAAAGGCGAGACACTTGAAGCTAATAGCCCACGCTCTGATAGTGACGACGAAGCCGAGACCTCCATTTTTGCCACACCCGTTGCTCTTCAGACAGTTGAGCCATTTCTCTGGCCGGACCTGAGCAACCACTATGCATCGACGAGTGTTGAGTTGTCAGACTCTTGGATGCAGTTCAGGCAGGAGCTTGGCTTCTACGTTGCTGCTCTGAACTTTTACTACCTCTTGCTTCAGGCACAACATCTACATGAGCCACTGGGAGTTAAAGGCCTTGACATCGGTCTTTTCCTTGCGCCACTGAAGGAGGTCGCCGCGGAATTCGAGAAAGGATTGGCCGAAGGTGGTAATCTGAACGTTGTTGTAGAGGAAGGCGAAGCTAGAGAGCAGGCGTTGGCTGATGTTGGTTTGTTGCAGAAAGTTATTGAGTGGGTCGAGGGAGGCCAGAAGAGGATTTAGAGGACGATGTCAGATCATCGCTTCATAGGAGATACCGGCTGTGATAGCCAGGATTTGAAAGTAGTAGACCTGACATATCCTCTTATATTATTCAAATCCTCAACGTTTCACGATGTCAACATGCTAAGAACATGTTGCAAAAAAACTGTCCAGTTGCACGTACAGGTTCGTGTTACTGTTGTCACTTGTCACGTGCCCTCATCCACATCATGGACAAAACATCTTGCTTCACATCAACTCTCAAAAACAGAAGTGTATACAAGACAAGATGTATGCAAAAAGAAATCGCTCATGCGACCGATATGGGACTCGAACCCACAACCTTGGCCTGCCAATTTCACAGTAGATGTATAGGAGGGCCACGCGCTACCATTGCGCCAACCGGCCAGCGTTGAAGAGATTTCGATGCTGTGATGGTGCAATTGAAAAATTAGTCTACAACTATAGGCTTCAATAAATTGGATGAATGCACAGCTGGCACTTAAATCCCTCTCTGGAACACTTCAATGAAGCAGAGCTTGCTTGAGTGACAATCAAGGCCATGTGGCTCTTTGTCTATCGTTGTGTAGTTTTTTTGCGGTTCGTCAAGTTTGTATGAGTCAGGGATATGGGCATCGTGTTAACCCACCACATCTGAAAAGACGTCTTCTGAGGAAACCCGCATGAATGCGTGGATAACAGAAAACCGGGACACGTCACAATTCATCCAAAAAGTGCCTTGGATGTTTGGAGAGACAAGGATCAAGCACGCAATCTCGATATCGATTACAAATAAGGAAGGAAGTTGTATTCCACGGCCGCAAAACCTCACTTCGCTAAACACCCTTCTTTTGCACTTTCGTAAACACATTCTCTGGTAATCCTTTCAAACTTCCGTCCTCTATTCTCATCGTCAAGTCCGCCTCTCTGCGCACCAATCAACGTGTGGACCCCATCGGCATCGCACGGCAAAACCACGATCATCTTTTTGTGGGCGCGTGTGTCAGTCAAACCCTCCAACGCCGCAAAATTTCGGGTCAATTTCGTGTGTCGAAAACACCTTCCGGCAAAGCCAAGAAAACAAAAAAGACGATAGAAGAATGGTATGCGCACCGTAGAGCTGCGAGTCCTGTACAAACGGGATACTGAATACCACGTCGTCAGGTTCATGCAGACGCGTCCGCTTTTGCAGATGGCTTGACAAAGGCCGAGGTGTACGCGCAGGTGCTGGAGCAGGCTAGGGCGCTGTTTGATGGGCAGCGGAATTGGGTAAGAAATGTGCTCTTGCGGTTCAGCAAGGATTCGATTGTTCTAAAGGATCTATACTAATGAGGAATACAGGTTTGGTACGTCTCTCAGTGGTTCTCAGCAACCTTCTTCATCTCTTGTCTCCAGTCTAAGGAGAACCGAGACCCTAAAATGAGAAAAGCACCACTAAACTAACGCACTTTGACAGCAACTTCTCCAACACAGCATCCCTCCTCTGGCATGCTTACCACTCCCTTCCCTCTCCCTCTTCTTCCGTGAACTGGTCAGGATTCTACTTCCTCAACCCGACCAACCCGCAGCAACTTCTCCTTGGTCCTTTCCACGGCCAGGTAGCATGCCAGACCATTGCATTCGGGCGAGGCGTATGCGGCGCCGCGGCGCAGACCAAGGTCACGCAGCTTGTGCCTGATGTCGAGAAGTTCCCAGGCCACATCGCGTGCGATGGGGCGAGTAAAAGCGAGATTGTCGTGCCGATTGTCAAGGATGGAAAGGTAAGTTGTGTCTTTCGGCGTGCCTACTTGACTGGTCATGCGTTAGTTTCCTCGAACGCCCAAGCTGACATGTAACCAGGTCGTCGCTATTATAGATATTGACTGTGCGGAAGAGAACGGATTTACCGAGGAAGATCAGACCGCGCTTGAGGAGCTGGCTGCGCTTCTTGCTGAGTCGTGCGACTTTTGAGCGTATGGAAGGGGAGCGAGTGATGTCGCATAGGGCTCAGTTAATGGCGAGGTCGAAACGGCGCTGGTCGAAACAAGAAGGAATGGGGTGGCCTAACATGTTCAATTAAGACATCATGGCCATCGTGACAGAGGGAAAAACTGGAAAAGCCTAACATGATCAATTAAGACATTATGGCCTTAATCGTTTACTTGCCTTATTATGTGAAGCCCCAGATCGTAACTCGAGAAAATACTAATCTCCTTTGACTGCGCACTAGTTTGAGCATGAATCACAAGCTTGATGCAAGCATCACAATAGACTCAAGACGTGATTAAAGTTTGAAATAGTTAAGACTAAGTAGTCATTATCTTCATGATGTCGTGAATATCCGCAGCCGCATGCCGCAGAGAGAAACGAGACAGAAGCACAACAAGACAGTACTGAATGGTGACCAATGCTGTGACTGAGAAGAGACCCGAGAGACTGGAAAGACACCAATACGCCTGACTGTAGAAACCTAAACCACAAGGTGCTGACTCTAGCACATAATTGTGATCCAAAACGCCCTTCCGTCAAGACGCCATATATTTGTAGAACATCGACAATGCTGAACACCTGTTCATGCCGCTGGTATCGCTCGGATGGAGGAGATGCCGATGAAGAAGAAGTGATGATGCGCCTTTCGTACCTGAACACCAATAATGCAAAAACTCAAGAGTGATGAACGTCGCTCATGACTTGGGGCGGGCCATGGAGCTGCCGACACTGCCGACGCGTCCACTGGTCTTGCGAACACTAGTCTTGCCCTCAGTGCTTCGTCGGTGTGGGCTCGATCGGACCTTTCCAACACTGATGCTTCCGTTTCCGCTAGCGCTCTTGTCTTTCGGTGTCTTTGGGCGGCCACTGATTGTAGCCGGTGCAGTGTTCTCAGCATCGCTGCCGTCACCAAAGCCGAAAGATGTGTGCGTTACTGATGTGTGAATGACAGATGTTGTGCTGAACGCACGACGCGTTTTCTCCTTCGCTGCTGGAGTGCGAGCTGGGGAACGAGACGATGTTCTCCGTGCGATCTGGCGCAGGTGGTACTCTTCGTCAGACTCGCCATCGTATCTAGTAAGGTCTGCCCTGACTTCTGTCGAAGACCTGGTAAACGGCTCATTCTCGTCAATCCGTGATGGAGACTGTCTTGCACTGCCGTTCCCGTAAAGCTTGCTAGTCTTTCGAGGCTGACCGGGTGTCGGCGCTGGCAGGTTGTCTTCTTGAACGCCGATGTTCGAGTGACCCGCATTGCGCTGCTCATTCGATTCAATCTCGCCGAGTGCGGCGCGCCTCTGCGATCCGTTTGGTGGTGTGAAAGTCTGCCCGTTGCTCGCCAGACGCTGTTTGCGCGGCGATGCAGTTGGTGTGGAAGGCATCATCTCTGCGAATTTGGCCTTCATGGTATCCTCGTGCCACCACTCGCGGAAGGTCGCCTGGTTGAGGTGGAGCCAATGCTGCTGAGGACCAACGACCATTCCAGGACGCATGAATCGCATGTACGCAATAATCTCGTTGGCAGTGAAGGCGTGCTTGTAGATGAGGTAAGCGCCAATGAGGCAGCCTGTTCGTCCCAGACCAGCCTTGCAGTGCACAGCAATACCCTTCTTACGTACAGTGATCATCTCGTGCGCAAGGTCGATGAACTGACGAACGAGAGACAGAGGCGGGCAGGTGCCGTCATCGAAAATCATGTTCAGGTGCTTGATGCCGAGCTTCTCGAAGTAAGTGGATGAGTAGAGTTCCGAGTTCAGACGAACGACGAGGCCAATGTTGCGAGCGGAGAAATGGGACAAGACGTTCTTGAAAGGTCCAGGAAGGTTCGACTTCTGAACTTCGGCAATGTTGGAGGGGAGTGTGGCGTACACTGGCGATGATTTGGAGATCTCGTGTGTAGGCTGCTGCTGGGGCGAGGCAAAAGCCAGGAAGTTGGGCGTGACCCAGTTGAAGTCGCCCATGTCGACACGCTCGTACTTCTCGTACTCCTCGAGGCTGAAGTCCTTGAGCCCGCAAAGGCCCTCTTCCTTGGCCTTCCACACACCGTAGATGACGTCCTGGATGTTCAGAACGTAGTCAGCCTGGCTATATCCGGCATCGCGGAAGGGCATGCAGGGTGGGTCCATCTGCGCGATGGGAGCCAGGGCAAGATGAGGGGGCCAGGACTGAATTAGGACCATGTAGCAGGCGAGGATGCAAGCAGCATTAGCGCGGCCTGTAATTGTTAGTGGATACAACAGAAACAATGTATCGTATTGACATACTCCTTGAGTCTGCGCCGCTCCAGAAGACCACAGCTCGCTCCTCGTTGGCAGGGTCGCCGAGCACCTCGTGCAGTTGCACAGCAAAGCGGTACAAGTGACCGATGTGCAGCGGCCCGAAGTCACCGTGGAAAGCATTGTACAGCAGAGTCTTGTCGATACTGAAGTACACGGGTGGGTGGGCTTTGGCGCCAGTAGCAGTGGGACCAGCTTGCGCCCGCGACGAGCGCTTTGACGGCGACGCGCTTTGCTTGGGGTAAGGGAATGGTGTGTTCGCATCTGGTGTGTGTGTGTACGAAGCGAGATAGAGTCGGTCTTGTATGTACTAGAAGTATGTTGCCTTAGCATCCAAACTGAGGCGCATTGTTTTGAGCTTTGTTGTGGTGCTAACCTCGATGACCTGACCATAGCTGGTCGCGCTGGCGCGAGACGTCTTTGCGACTCGTTGGTGCGAAGACATGGCGGAGAACACAAAACTGAAGGTGATTCTGATTCGAAGAAAGACTGAAGACTACTTGCGACTGCAAGCGTCACGCAATGTACGTGTGAGGGCGACTTGGGACGGTAGGGCGAAGTCGAGCAGCGCAGAACAATTGTGGGGTGGTGGAGTCGGTGTGAAGCTGCGAACGCAGTCGCCGAGTGCTTCTTGTCCTGCAATGGTCCGGGGAAGAAATAACAGTAATGATGTCGAAGGCCTGCGGTGGTGGTGAAGATAATGTACGAGCTGTGATGTTTACATCCAGATGTCTTGGCGGCGCGGCTTCCACAACAAAGGTGCGTCCTTACCTAGTTGGGATGGTGGAACCCTTAGCGCGGTCTAAGACCCCGGGGCTGTTCGGCTCGCCTTGACAACCGCACAACAAAACAACGTCGACAACAGTGCTTGGCCGGAGCCCATTGCACGCACGGTTTGCGGTGAGGCCATCCCCTGCACAAAGCCCTGTTTTCTGTTTATTTTGCTGCTGCATCGACGCGATCTTCTAGTGGACCTTAAACTCCGCTCAGTCGTCGCAGGAGATTGCCATCACTCGGGGAACCATAGCAACATCGCTGCGGAGGCTTGCTGAGCACATGACATCACAGGGTCCATCATCGAATTCTCAAAGTGCAGCGGCCCTCTGTGGTAGCCCGCTACAGACTGTAGTACCAGCCAGCCTCGCCGCTTCATACCTTTTGTAGAAG